TAGGCTCAAATGAAGGCAGCTGAGGAGGAAAAACTCAGAGCTGAGGAAGAGGAGAAACTAAAGGAGATAGAGAGGAAGAAGGAAGAGAAGAGGCAGCAAAGAAAGGTATGTGGTCAAATACTTTATCATGGGTTTTACGTAATTGGATTGTTAATTTTAATTGTTTATGCTACGGATGTGAGTGATAGCGCAAATGATTGAGGAGAGGGGTGTGTTTACTTTTTCAAGTAGCTGTTATGATGATTTTCACCGTTTTTGAATGATGAAACGGGTGGAAATAATCCCAAGCCTATCAAGGGAGAAAATGGTAAATTAACTGGTTTTATTCAAGTTTAAAACATCACTGAATCAATCTAAATACATTAATTTATACCAACAAGACACATTTTTATGAGTTAAATCTGGCAGAAATTATGGAAGCCCATTTTCACCACAGAATAGAAAAATAAAAAAGGTAATTGTGACTTTTTATCTCAAAATTCTCACTTTATTCTTGCGATTCTGAGTTTATATCTCACAATTCAGACTTTTGTGAGATATGAATTTGCAATTCTGAAGAAGAAAATCTGATATGTGAGAAAAAGTCGCAATTACCTTTTGTCATTCCATGACAGAAACAAAGAACAGAATTGCGAGATATAAAATCAGAATTGTGAGAAAAGTCAGACTTGCTAGTTTATATCTTGCAGTTCTGTGTTTATCTCAATTCGGACTTTGTTTCTGACAGTTCTGAGAAAAAAAAAGTCAAAATTGCGAGAAACAAACTCTGAATTGTGAGATCATTTTTATTCTGTGTCGGAAACAGGCTTCCATAAGAAATAGCTCTTTAAGTTAACAATTGTAAGTTACGACTATTTACATTGCAGGATACCAGTATGTAACCACCCAGAATGCCCTAGGAACTGATTAGCAGTATGCTAAAAACCACTCAGAATAACTAGGCAACAATGTAGCACTGTTTTGCATTAGCAAGTGCATCTAGAAAATGCAAAAAAGTTAATGTATTCATCATGTTTATAATGTGAACTTAGAGGGAACTTGAGAAACAGAAGAGAGCAGAACGGGAACAGGAACTGTCAAAGCGGGTGGCCCAGCACTACCTCAGAACCCTGTTACTGCGCCGAGGCCTGGCACCATGGAAAAGCCTGCTGGAGCAAAGCCATGTCAACACACAGGTCAGCGGTGCTACTGCAAACACACACACATGGTCTACAGTGACAATGCAGGCTGTTCGCCTGCTTTCCAGACAAACACTCACACACTCAATTATTCATCCAAAGAGTTATGGGCAGCTCACACACAGACAGGA